TAGTGTCAGATATTTTTGTAAGATTTTGTCTTCATGAATGCTATAAAATCTCCAAATCTGACAAATATTTACAGTGAAAATTAAAAACAGTTTACAGAATATCATATTATCTTTGCTTGCAATGCTGGTGTATAATTTCACTATATTTCAACTAACAATATTCAACTAAAACCGTAGACATTATAGTCTACTATACTGTCTACTCTACAACCAACACAATAAACATAGCCATATACATATACATCACTCATGGTGACAGATTAACAACATCTGTTATCTGAGTTGTCAGGTGACCGACTGTGCAGAATCAAATGACGCACTGATGCAACTACAATTATAGACGTGCCAATAACATGAATAAAACTAAAGAAAGAAAAGAAAAAAACACTAGTTGTTATATTAATTTATTTTCAATGTTTGTTAGACTGCAAACTCCTGTGGAATATATGGCTGGACGTTGTATTTTATTTTTATTTTACTTATTAAAACTTACTCACTCCCCGGAGAGAGTGGCAATGGTTACAGATAATAGTAAAAGTATACAGTATTAATACACTAATAAGGAAGTAATAAAAAAAATAAACTAATATTAATGGGGAAAAATAATAATAAAAGAAAGATGTATATTAATCCCAATTTTTTTGTAAATCACTACAACTTACAAGTAGGTATAGGAATCGATAAGAAACTTGTAATGATAGTGATAAATATTATTGCCGATTTGTCCAGTGATACTAATCCCGAGTAGCCACAGACTAACTCAGCTCTGTTTAGACAAGTTCACAGCTCCTTGGTTTAGACAACACACCGATACTACGTGGCAAAATAGTGACACAGCAACGCATTGAGACCATGAATAGTTACCGACTTCAATACGACACGCACATCAATAAGTGTAATACCTTACCACTGACTCGTGACCCAGGGCCATGTTTTAAATCTTAGAATCTGTATTCCATTAATGCCAACGAACACTAAAAAATATTTCAAACACATCTAAACTTTTTTTGAATTGAAACATAATGACAATATAAAGAAGATTTACACTTACCTGGGATATCGTGAAAATTATCAAGAACAGCGATAATTTATTTCCCCCAACTCTTTGGTCTGCCATTTTGAGTAAAGACTGCTGGGTAATAAATAGTCAGACTGCCTATCTCACGCAACATTTTGTAAGATTGATATAAATGTGTGCCCTCATTTATTGTATTAGCTTTCAATAAAATTAATGAAGCGGATATTTAAGTTTAGGTTAACTGTTGAACTAATAAACATTAGTCTTAGTCGTAATCTGTAAATGTACTGTATTTGTTTTAATCATCTTTAGTAAGATAGAGGGTACTTCAAAGACAAGATGGCGGTAAGTGTTAAATGTAGCTTGAATGTTTTTATTATTAATTGCTCAAAAGCTTCTTAATTTATTAATGTATTGTTCTTGGTCTGTATTACCAATTAAGTAAAGCGACCTTTTACAGTCCCTTACAATGAATTGCGTTAGCAATCTGTATTATCTGCATGAATGCTGTGTTAATGGCGCGGGAGGGGTATTGTTTCTTTCCCCACACCACACCACACCACACCACCCCACCCCACACACACACACAATACCCTTCCTGTGTCCTTGTCTATTGTAAAAACCCAGTCACGTGGCTTATTAATAATAAGCATTAATATACATATAACACCGAAAACAATAGAGTTTGCCATTCCGTAAGGCCACACTGATTTAATTTTATGGATGACGTCCTCTGGAGACCCCAAAACTAATGCGAGAGGGCGAAAAAAAACAACCTACGGAGCTGGTATTACGAATTGAACCACAGAACAGAGTGTATATAAAACAAACAAGAAGTCTTTATTTGTAGGAGGCACATGTTGATGTACACATCTCGTACTGTATTATTGTCACAGGTATAACCATTTCAGACAAACCCTAGTACATGTAGTCATGATGAAGTATCTTCAGTCAGAAACACTGCATTCAAGGTACAGCATGAACACCATTTTCAGTACAAGTCAAGGCGGAATGTAAATATCACTACTTTATGACAATAACTAACAAAACATTGCACTGTATGTGCAAGCAAATTATTTGAATCAGAAAATGAAAAAAAAAAAAATAAGAAGAAAATTTTCTTCACCTCGAACGCGGACTTCGGCCGAGGAGCTTCCTCTGCTTTCGTTGCAGTTTTGTCGACTTTAATGCGAACAAAGCAACTGAACTGACTTGTCGCCTGACCAACTTTAAGGCCACCATACATCTCCACTCCTCTGCAGTTTCTCTCATCGTTGCAGAAGAAACGCGGGACAGCCACTCTGGACTATACGTCTTTAAAGTTGTCTGGACGAAACACGTTTGCCGCTATCAATCTCTCGTGTAGCTGTGTAAACGTTACATCTCCGTGGTCGACGTCAATTGCGTACCAGTCTACAACAATCCCTCCGTTTTTCTTCTGAACTTTTATGCTCGCGTATTTGGTGGCGTGGTCGCCATGTTGGAATCATTTACGACAAAATTGGCACGTTTTGAGTTAGTTCAAAACGAGTTTTACAACAAGCCACGCTTTGGGACAATATGAGTCGGCATATTTCGGGCAGACAAACGATCTGTGGAGACTCATCGTCGGAGATTTTTTTTTTTTTGAGAACAGGTGAAAACTAATGCGAGCGAATGTCATCCATAAAATTAAGTCGGTCGGGCCTAAATAGGCGTAGCGCTTGTCTGTTATAACTTGAATATTAGCTTTGGATGGCCGTCGTTGTCAGAGTGAACGTTATTCAGTCATCGGCTATCCACTCAACACCGCCTTGAATCCTGCTTTATAAAGTGGATGCCCAACAAATTGGTATGCACTGTTTTGAATAAAAAAAATAGAAACCAACTCATACTGTAACTGCCAGAACCTAAATTTTTTAGTGATGCACACTAGATTCCACAATAATATTTTCAATTTAGTTTAGCATATATGTGTATATACAACCATTTTAGTTCTAAAAACTCATCAAAATCAAGTGTTTCTGCAGTTCTAGAACCAGGTTTTGTTTAAATGTTTACTGTTCCGCGGCTGTATATCAATATGTAATTCAAAAATAAGCTGACTCAAGTTTGTATAATGTCATATGAGTGTCAGTCATAATGGATTTTAAACATGAATGTCTTGTATCAGCCATCATACAACCAGCAAGAACACCACTCTACTGTAATCTATCATCAAACTAACCAACTTTAATTGACACATTGAAATATATCATTGCTTTCTTCTGCAAATGCAAATATTCAACTCTTTTGGGAGGGGGGATGTCTGGTATTTAGCTCATACAATTGTAAGTGATCACTTTGAATAATTACCAACAGAGACTGTCATTTTACAACCAATTCCCTCTTTTCGTCACAAAATAGTCCTGTTTAAAGTCTGTACTTCCAGTCAAAAGATTAGGACAAAAATAGCCAATTTTTTTGAGTAAAAACCAAAAATTTACTGAAATTGTGTCTGTTTGCTTCAAAATTAGAGTTCATTTCCAGAAATATTGAACATGCATGCATAGAAAAAGTGTGAAAAGATTTAGGAAAGAAAGTCTGGTGGGGAAAAGGTTAAAGCAGGGGGAGTTGTCACCTGCGCATGCATCAGATGGTCATAGCGTGTCATTGTTTACAAGTGTCTACCCATGAGCCTTTGCGTTATTAGCGTGTGGTATCGTTGCTTGGGACTCAATTCCCGTGCTTGCGCAAGTGACGACCCTCTCACTTTACCGGTAAGTTGAGTGCCAACTTTTGGCAGCAGCAACAAAATGATTGTGTACACTTCTCCCCACATGACAAACTTTTTGGGTCAAAAACTAAAAGCAATGTCTGAAACCGTCTGTGTGGTCCACAATGATGATGAATTTCAGTGAAAGTTTTAGAAAAACTGAAAATATTTGCACTCAATTTTGGGTAAGAAAAATATCTGGCAGTCAAAGAGGTAATATATTTTCTATTGTAGGTTCAGTCATGTGATCTCATCTGTTTATAAAAATTTTAAATCATTTTTTTTTTATCCAGGACAAAGAAAAGAAGAAAAAAGAAAGCATTTTAGATCTGTCAAAGTTTATTGACAAACCAATCAGAGTAAAATTCCAAGGTGGAAGAGAAGGTAAGATTATAATAGTATAAAGAATAGAAATCATACCATTTTTGCTAGCTTGATTCATACATCAGGCTTCATAGTTATGATACTACTGTACTCGTCCGATTTAGCGCCCATACTCAACTACCGTTAAAATCCTATTATAAACCGCATACCTAATACTAACCGCACCCCCAATTTCGGCTTCAGTGTTAAAGATTTCTCAACAAAAATTGAAAACATGAAAAGTACTTATTACTAACCGCACCCCCAATTCAACAAGACCGTGACCGACTTTGTTTCAACCAGCTGGTACATTGTTCCTAATCCTATTCATTTGTTTTGACAACGTGCCTAAAAATATTCACACCTTTTTACCTTGCCCGTACCATCAAAGATGGAAGGGAAAGGTATATTAAAGGAAAAATTTTGTCCGGCGTTGTCGTCATCGTCGTTGTCGTCGTCGTTAATAATTGTTATTGTGTGCATGATAACTTTACTAATTCTATTCCAAACTTCATCAAACTTGGTCACCTTGTTCATCAGTATAAAGTCTTCCCTGAGTTTGAACAACAGATGTCCTGTATGAAAATATCATGCAAAAATTGAGAAAAACTGATAAAATATTTTGACTGTTTCTACTTGACTGATCACTGGTGATACACATCAAAGGTCACTGATCTCAGTGGAAATATGCATTGTTGTATGTGTTCAATGAAGCAAATGATTTATCTTGTAATAATATCCTTCGTAATGTATCCCTTACTG